TAAGTTGCACAGGCTGGAACTGACTTCTGGCTCTCCCAGGCTTCATCATGTGTCCTCTTGAAAGCTGTTTACTCATCTCTGAGATGGAGATCATTAATCATGGCTACCTCTTGGGTCATTTTTATAGGGGCGTAACTGAGATGATGGGTGTAAAGTCCTCACATGGAACTTGGCACACTGTTGGTGCTTAATAATAAAGAACTATTATTATTGCTATTGTTTTTTGATCACAGACACTTATCTGCTGTTGGAACATCCTCCGCCAACTTGAGGGACCCTGCATGACGCAGGAAACCACCTGGGTAATGTTTACCGTGTCAAACTTCCTCACACGTCCTCAACCTTCACTAAGTTTATGAAACTCAGAGAAACTGAGGCCAAAAGAGTGGCTGCTCTCTCAGTGCTTTTATTTTGAAAACTGTGCCAGGTTCAGCCTCTTCCCACGTTAGCCATTTCCATTCATGCTAGAAACAACAGAAGGACACAGATTTGGGTTGAAATGATGTGCTTTTATGGGAAACAAAAATATCCAACAACAATAACAAAAGCCCTTCCATGTCGCCAAGTTCTCAACTAGTGATAATGAGGCAGTTTCAATGATTGCGTCTGTCTGGGGACATTTCAAAGGGTCAGGAAAGTCGGAAGACATTGGCCAAAAAAGAGAAGTTGTAGGGAGGGCTGACGTGGTAAATGAGAGCATATCAGACTTCCCTTCTGGCCCCTCACTTGTCACCCTCTCAACTTAGAGTCTCCTCCCAGTTTACCAAGATCCTTCCTGAATTTTGCTCAGATGCAATCTCCTCCAGAAAGCTTTCCTTGGTCTGCTCCAACGGCAGACATGCCTTTTCATTAACATCACACACACACACTTTCTCGTGCCTTCTCTGACCACTTTCTGCCTTACATCCATTATGCTTGGGTATATGCCTCATGATACCCACTGCCAGTGGGCAGGGCCCCTGTGGATTCATCCCAGTGCTCCCCTCCCCCTCCCCCATCCAGTGCTCAGTATTCAGCAGGTGCTCAGCATTAGCAGGTGCTCAGTGAGGGCTTGTGGAATTTAAGTCAGTTCTGCATTTGCCATGTCACATCACCAGTCTCTGAGAGCCATAATCATTTCCGTTTCTTCATCCTTTCTCCATGGCCTCGAAATGGTCTGACTCAAGACAGCTCCAAAAAGGAATCTGCCCCCACCAACAACCAACTCACAGTTGAAAATTTGGAGAGGGAGGGAGAGAAGGTTAATCTTTCACCTCTCTTCCAGAGGGCAAGGAGGCCAGGCAGCAGGAAAGGCAGCCACTGAGAGATCCAGGATGACTTTGGATGGTGCTGGCCAACAAACGCTTCCTTTTAGAATCTCGGAAGCAGCCACTCTTCTGGAAGCTTCTCTCATGAAAAATGGCCACATATGTGGCAGGAGCTGAGGATTGGTGGGGGTCCAGAATGGTTGCCCTGCCATTCCAGGGACCAGAGATGTAGACTGAGAATTTTTCTTTGGGACATGGCCTATTTTCCCTCTAGAGGGGTGAATAGAGTCTTCTGTCTAGTTGTTCTGTTGGAGCTATGGTGGCAATGTTAGCCCTGTGGAGTGTTGTGTTGTCAGGCACATAGATTGTAATAAGGCTGAAGAATACAGGCTGCAGTACTGGGCCTCTCCTTGAAAGGGGGCAGGGTCAGGAAGTGCCGGGAGCAGTGAGGGAAAGAGGAGCACCCTAGAGGTCCTGCAGTTCCGATTCTAACAGGTGGCCTGCTCTGCCTCCTGCTCCCTTCCTCTGGTTCTCCAAGTCCAGGCCAGGCAAAGGGGTGGAGGGAAGGAAAGTGCCTCTTTTCTTTTCCTAACTGTGAGTCCCAGACTTGGACCAGGGAGAGGTTGCAATCCAGGGCAGAGGAGGAGGACTGAAGAGCTGAGGAGAGGTCTAGGCCCTATCCACGTCTGTTTACTGGGATAACTCGGAGGTTTGAGGCTCATACTTCAAACTGCATTGTCCCCAGAAAGCACTGTGCTCCTACTTGGGGGCGTTGGGAAAGTTCCTTATGGGCTCTCAAAGGTGCTCAGTGATTTTGGAAGATCACCGTGGATCTTCTCAGGGGAGGGCCCTTCTGGGGCCAATAAGGTGTGAAAGCCACCTGGTCAGCATCAGTCCTAGAGACTTGGGAAAAGGGCCCAGAAGCAGAGAGAAGAGAGACTTCTTTAGGCACCTTTTTTAGGAAAGAGAGTTGGACTTTGGGGGACTCAGCTTAGGACAGATGTTTCAGTATAAAAAGGATCTCCTGTAAAAGATGGAGTCCCCTCAAATCCCTTCCCAGATCCCACAGCACTTAGAAAAGAGAAAGTCAAGGAGCATAAAAATATCTTGATGACGTGGGCTTGCCTGACAGTACAGAAAAGCGAGTCTTATGGCAGGCAGTGTGTCCCATTACACAGAGAGGATTATACCGAGCTTCAGTATAGAGATTTTACATATATCTTTATATAAATGCATATATATTTATAGTGCCTCTGCCTAGAACAGCCGGGCTTGCTTCTTCAGTTCATTCCTCTTCCAGAGGGCCAGCCGGTCGAACTCGGAGATGGTCATGCCAAAGACTTGGTAGAACTCTTCCTGGGACAGGTGGCGCTGAAGGAGGTGGGGGTTGCAGAGAGAGAACAGGGCATGAGGTGCAGGCTGGGGTAGGTGGAGGCAGAAGCAGGCATTGCACATCCCCTCTGGGCACCGTGTGTCCCACCCAGGCCGTGTGTGTGATGAATGTTTGCTGAATGGCTGAATCAGGAAATGAGTGTTTCCCTAGAGGGGCCTCCATTGCTGATCTGGCTGGAGAGGCCTCCCTTTCCCTGACTCAGGTGGGACTTTAGGGACATTACCACCTAAACAGCCCTTGGGTCCCCTGGTTGATCTGCCCTCTCTGCATGCCTGCTCCAGGCATTTGTGTCCAGAAGTCTATATGGATTAATGCTATTTCCCCTCTCTTTGGGATAAAAGGGAGGGATGTCTGGGATTTTAATGTGTATTTCCTCTCTTTATGTTTTTACAAACAATCACGAAGGCTGTCCATCAGGCCAGTCAGTGAGAAAAAATCACTGGGCATATTTCTCAGCCCACTGAAATGTCCTTTTATCTCTTTCTTTCATGAAAGCAGGTATGCCAAATATGCCTGCCTTCCATAGCAGGGTCCTCCCTCTTCTGGCCTCCTTCCTTTCCTTTCACCCCCTCTTCTGGCCTCCTTCCTTTCCTTTCGTCTAAGCAGCCTTAAAAGTGTGCTACATTGTCAAAAGGTTTTAGAGTTAGAAATATATAGCATTTAAAATGTGGCAAGATGTTAACAATCAGTGCATGTAGTGTTAATATTCTTGCAACTTCTCTGGAGTGTTGAGATTTTTCAAAATTAATCTTAAAAGTAAGTTTAAAAAGAGAAATCTATGGCATACATCCTATCTGCAGGCTAATTGGATTCACTAAGCTGACCTCTTGGTCGTAATTATATTAGCTAACTGGGGATTGAAGGAGATTCACTGAGAATTATGTACATAATAGTAAGCCAGTTCTCCGGTCTGTTGTCACTGTAAGCTAATGTATTAGTCACATGTTCCGAATTTCAGGCAAAGATACCTTAGATAGCTTTAGATAGCTGTCATTGTCTGCTGTTGACTTTGACTCGATTCCCCACACTTCACAGTATTTTAAAACACCAGCAATTCTTTGTCTTGCCCTTGTATTATGCTCAATAGTTCAAAACTGCCTTTTCACCCTCATTTTCCTCATTGAATCCTTCTGGCCTCTCTGAAAATCAGAAATTAGATTTGATCCAATTGAGGGACAGGACAATCAAAACTCAAAGAATTAAAATGGCATACTTGGCCAAGAGGGAGAGTGGGAGGGAAGGAAGGAAGGAAAAAGGCCCCGGGAGGTAGTGGAGCTGAGACCAAGGTCCGGGCCTTCTGATCCAAACACAGAGTGTTCTCACTGCCCCCTTGGTCAACCCCGTTAAAAAAATTCATAAAGAAGTCTATTATGAAATATGTTCAAAGTACACAAATGAGAGAAAAGCATAATGCACACGCCCATTGGCCAGGTTCAATAATTATCCAGAGTAGGCCACACTAGCTTCGTTTATTTTCTTTGCTGGGGTATGTTACAGAGAAGTCTACATTGTGTCAATTCCTTCCTACTCACTTACAGAGAACTCTACATTGTGTCAATTCTTTCCTACTCACTTCAGTGTGTACCTCTGCGCACACTGGGTGTTTTCTCACATAATAGCCTGAGCAAACCCAACGCAGTAATTCCTCAGACTTCCTTAATACCTGTCCATTAGAAAATCCCTCTGTCTCAAAAATGGTGTTTTACAGTTGGTTTGTCTTAAAAAGGACCCAAACAGCACTCACACATGCTTGTGCCCCTGTTTTTCTTCTCCTTTTTTTGAAGTTTTTTTTTTTGGGTGGGGGCTGGATTTGAACCCTCCACCTCCAGCATATGGGGCTGGTGCCCTACTCCTTTGAGCCACAGGCACCATCCCCTTCTCCTTTTTTAAAAAAAATGTTATTGACTTGTTCATATTTGTTTTACTCAAGTGGGTGCAGAAAAATAACTTGGATAGGACGGAGTTCTCTGCTCCTTCCATAGTAATGACTGAAGGAAGCTGCACTTTAAAATCATTTGTTATTTTTGAGTTAAAGGTGGTGGTTGCTATTGACTCTCTAATTGGGTTTCTCTGCCATTTTCAAAAATCTTTGTCACAAGGCTCCATATAAAGGAGTAGTAATCTCAGCCTCAAGTTAAGTATCCACAGGAAGACATGCTGAACAGAGACCCAAACCTCTCTCCTCTCCCTCCCCAAGGGCAGCTGGAGCTCTGCTCTGCCTGGGTTCTCAGGCTCCCAGAGGCCATCCTTGCCCATTGGTCATTCATCACAGAAAGGTGGTAAAGCAGGAAGGTTTTAGAGTGGGGAAGACATGGCTGTGTAATGTTGGACATTACTGAGCCTCTATTTCCTTTTCTGGAAAATTTGAGAATTCAAGCACCTATGTGACGAATACAGTGAGGGTGAAGGACAGGATTCGGGTCATGAGCTCAGCATGCAGGGGGCCCATGGGAGGTGCTTGATCACTGGTACTTGCCCTACTGTGATGATCTCCACATGTGTCCGTCACATTATGTGATCTAGTCCCATCTCCTTTACCTTCATCTCCTCTTCTTCCTCTTTGCTGTGCTGGTGTGACCCCAGCCACCCTCAAACACATTCCTGTATTAGGGACCTGACACTGGCTATTTCCTCTGCCCAGAATGTTCTTCCTTTTCATAAAATAACTCCCTCACCTACTTTGAGTCTTTGCTCAAATGTCATTATTTAATGAGACTTACTCTGATTTCCCCTATTTAACACCACTCTCACCCTGCCCTCTGGCTCCCAATCCCTTACTCCCCTCTCCTTTCACTTTAGCCCTTTTACTTTCTAACACACAATATTATTTATTTATTAGAGACCGAGTCTCCCTCTGTTGCCCTGGCTAAAGTCAGGGCAGCTCACAGCAACCTCACACTCTTGGGCTCAAGTGATTCTCTTGCCTCAGCCTCCCGGGTAGCTAGGACGACAGGCACCCTTGACCCTACTTTTTTTTTTTCTTTTTTTGAGACAGAGCCTCAAGCTATCCTCCTGGGTAGAGTGCCATGGCATCACAGCTCACAGCAACCTCCAACTCCTGGGCTCAAGCGAGTCTCCTGCCTCAGCCTCCCAAGTAGCTGGGACTACAGGCGCCCACCACAACGCCCGGCCATTTTTTGGTTGCAGCCATCATTGTTGTTTGGCGGGCCCGGGCTGGGGATTCGAACCCGCCACCTTAGGTGTATGTGGCTGGCGCCTCAGCTGCTTGAGCCACAGGCGCCGAGCCTGACCCTACTTTTAGTAGAGACGGGGGAATGCTCTTGCTCAGGCTGGCCTTGAACTCTTGAGTGCAGGTGATCTTCCTGCCTCAGCCTCCCAGAGTGCTGGGTTTATAGGCATGTGCCATGGCAACAAGTCCGTTTTTTATTTGTGTTATTTAGTATTTGGCTCCTTGCACAAGAATGCAAGCTCCAAGAGGGCAGGGGTCTAAACAGCACCTGGCAAATATAATAGACTTTCAGTAAATATTTGTTGGATGAGTGACTATAATCTGAACTGAAGCACAGTCTTCCTTTTCAGTTCCCTCCCTGAACTGGTACAGTGGTCTCTGCTCAGCCTACATTTGAGACATTCCTGGGAGCTTTTAAAAAATACTGATACCCGAGCTCCTTCCTCGGATTGCAGTTTAATTGGTCTAAGGTGGGTCCCTGCATGATGTTTTTAAAAGCTCCCTGGGTGATTCTGATGTTGGAGAGAGTGTTTCCACCCCTTAGCGCTGGCTCCACAAGGCTGCCCTGGGAGCTGTCCCCTTCAGCACCGGCAGACACTCTCACTTAGAGAAAGGTAAAGGAGGAGGCCCTTGTTAGAAATGTGAGAATCATCCGCTTCCCTGGACTGCTGACGCAGCATGTGAGAGCTGAACGAACTCACAGAGCTTCCTGGCTCGCTTGCATTCTCCTCCTTGTGCCCCCACCTTCTACCCGGGGCCAGTTCTCACCATCAGGTTGGGCGGCTCACGTGCTCTTCCTGAAGAGCAAAGAGCTCTGAGCTGCCTCTTTTGGAAGCCTGCACTCAATTCAACAATCACCTCCTGACACCTCTCCCTGTGTTGGAGGACAGACAATCTTCACCCCTAAGGGTTGAGCCCCTGACTTTGAGCAGTCGGGCAGAGGGAATGGATACATTGATGATCTGATACAGAGGTGAGGGAGTG